ACCGGACCGGGGACCGGCGACGGGATCGCAAGCCTCGGCCTTGCTCCCGCGCCCCGCTCAGCCAGTGAGCGGGAACCGGTCCGTATGTGGGATCCGAACCCTCGGGCGGGAGCGCTGCCGCGCTTCCCAAGTGGCGCACTATCCAGTGCGCCACCGGGCCGGCCCCTAAATGCATTTTTGACTTAGGATATTTTCAACTTACGGTGGTTTTGTTGGGATGTAACCCCATCGTGAGCCAAGGAGTATTGTTTATACCATTTCATTGAGAGGTTTTTAAGAATAAACTTCTCACCTCTTTCTTACAGCATCACTTACCTAAGATTCCTTCTTGGCTGGTCATACCCTCCTCCTGCCTGGCCCACAGCTGTGCTCAGTGGAGCCCTGTATTGTGTGCTGTAGAGGGGGCACCTGCAGGGTTGTTTCTGTCCTTGGGGAGGACCCAGTCTAATGGGAAAGTGCCCTGTGTTAGCTGCCTGGAGCTGCCGCAACAAATTACCACACACTGGGTGACTTAAAACAGAAATATTTTCATATAGTTCTCGAGGTGACAGTTCCAAAATCAAGGTGCCAAGGTGTCCAAGGCCATGCTCCCTCTGAAGGCTCTAGAGAATAATTCTTCCTTGCCTCTTCCTAGCTTCTGGTGGTGGCTGGCGAACCTTGTATTCCTTCGCTTGTCGATACATCACTCCAGTCTCTGCCTCTGTTTCCACCGTGCATCTTCCCTGTGTGTCTCTGTGTCTCTGTCCCTGTGTCTTTACATGGCCTTCTTATAGGGACACTAGTCCTAATACATTAGGGAGCATGCCCTAACACAGTATGACCTCATCTTAACTAGTCACATCTGCAAATGCCTGATTTCCAAATAAGTCACGTTCATAGATACTGGGGAGTTTGAACTTGAATATATCTTGTTGGGGGGTGGGGGGGCAGCGAGGAACATAATTTAATCTACAACAGAGCTTGTACTGTTAAAAAGTTGAGTCTGGGGCCGGCCTGGTGGCGCACTCGGTAGAGTGCGGCACTTGGGAGCGTGGTGGCGCTCCTACTGAGGGTTTGGATCCCATATACAGACCAGTGTGCTCACTGGTTGAGCGCGGTGCGGGCGCGACACCGAGGGTTACGATCTCATTGCCGGTCATGAAAAAAGACAAAAAGGTAAAAAAAAAAAAAAAAAAAAAGTTGAGTCTGGTGGGGAGATAAAAACATACGTGGAAAAGTGAACTTCAGAACACATCCAAACTGTTATATAAACCACATGTATATATTCCAAATAAAGACTCAAGTGTAAAAAACAAACAGTAAAACACTTAGAAGAAAATAAGAGTCTACCAGCATAATCCAGAGGTATGAGAGACCTTAAGTAACCCAGAAGCTATAAAAGATAAAGTGGGTGTACTTAACCATGTAAAGCAATCAACAGCTATGAGGACATGTAAGAAAATACCCAAACTCACTATCTGTCAGGGAAATACAAATTAATGATGAAAAGTCACTACACCCATAAAACCAGAAAAATTTAAAGAAGCAATAACCCCTGCTGTTGGTAGGGGTGTGTTTGTGCATTGTCAGTAGAAATGGGAATTGCTAGGCCCTTTTTACAAAGCACAGCACAACCATAATTTTGGTGTTATAATAGTATTGTGGTTCAGTTTTAAGGAGTCTTTTTTTTTTTTTTTTTATTTAAAAGATGACCGGTAAGGGGATCTTAACCCTTGACTTGGTGTTGTCATCACCACGCTCACCCAGTGAGCAACCGGCCATCCCTATATGGGATCCGAACCCGTGGCCTTGGTGTTATCAGCACCGCACTCTCCCGAGTAAGCCACGGGCTGGCCCTTAAGGAGTCTTTTTTTTAAAGGTTCATTCTGAAATATTTACTGGTAAATGGGGAGTGAGGGGGTCCGAAACTGGTGGTGTAGAGTGGGGGTTGGCAAACCACAGCCACAAGCCAAAAGCAGCCCACCGCTTGGTTTTGGAAATGTTGATTGAAATACGGCCATGCTCATCTGTTTAGGTATCCACTGAGTGTTCGGTGGCAGCGTTGAATAGTTATGGTGGAGACATGTGGCCTATAGCGCCTGAAACGTTAGTAACTGGCTCATTAGAGAAAGTGTCTGCTGTCCCCTAGTCCAGAGGAAACATGTTTGGCCACAAGTTCATAACGGTTGATTCTGGGAACTGTATGAGGGCATATTAGACTAGTCTTTATGTTTTTATATGTTTGGACTTTTCCATAATGAGAGGTTTTTAAAAAAACCCGCTTTGATCCAGTAATCTCATTCCTAGCAATCTGTCCCTTGAAAATAAAAGCATCAGTTAATAAGGATATAAGTATAAGAGTGTTTACTAAAATAGTTTACAGTGGTAAAACAACTGATACGGGAATGCTTGTGTAAACCATGTCCACCCACACCATGGAATAGTATGTTGTATTTTTAAAGAATGAACTAGAGTTTTAAAGAGTAAACTAAAGTTGGAGAATTTCCCATGAGATATTTTCAAGTGAGAAAAGCAAGATGTAGAAAAGTCTGTACGTGCCAATCTCATTTTTGTAGAACAACAGCACAATTAACTCCTTGGGGGTGTGTGTGTGTAGGATATATAGCAGGTTGTTAACATGGGTTAGGGATAAAATTAAGTTTCTGAAAGGGAAGAAAGCAAAACAGAAAAAGGAAAAACCTGTACTTAAGAAAACAGCCTACACGATATGATTCCATTTCTGTGTTCGTATAAATTAGATTCCTATACGTTTTGCTAAAGTAAAAGAGAGTTGTGATTTTTAAAACAACTGAAAAGGCATGAAGTTTTTAGTGTCCTTTGGTGCAATTAAAGAAGTAAAAGGGAATTCACTTGGGAGTTGGAAGATACCCAGGAGTGGGGAAACAGAGCCTGGAGTGGCCACTGTGGCCCTGCCCAGCCAGGGAAGGCTCCATGGAAGGTTTGGAGGTGGGAGGGGGCGGCTGGATGTGGATGGTCTCGGACCACAGTGGCTCCCTGGGCTCCGCGCCTCTTCCTGCTCCTGGAGAAATAATGTTTCCCTGAGGGATGAAAAGCATGTCTTTGTGCGGGCTTTGATTGCCATGTTGTTGTGCCAGGGGAATGAGTGGCAGGAGGGCACAGCAGCTGGGCACAGCCAATGCCAAGCAGCAAAGCCGCTCCTTAGGACAACCCAGGCCAGCTGTCCTGGGAGCGCTGCCCACCTCTGCCCCCAGCTGGCCACCAGGGGGGCCGAGAGGACCATTGAGGGAAGAGAAAGCAGCGGGGTGTCCGGGAGGGTCTCGGCCACTCTCAGAGGCTTATTCATTTCCTCCTCCTCTCCCCCCTCCCTCCCTCTTGTTTTTCAGACTGTCAGCATCAATAAGGCCATTAATACACAGGAAGTGGCTGTGAAGGAAAAACACGCCAGAAATATCCTTTTGGATGTCGCTTGGAAGACCGACCCGCAGGGGGTCTAATCGTGGGGATTGAGGTCAGGGCGAGGCTACCTTGCTTGGCTTCAGGAAGGGGAAGCCCACAGGGACCAGGCCCCTGAAGGTTTGAGCAGCTTGGGTTGGCAGCAGCAGGTTCTCAGAGAGCGCTGGCTTCAGAGACCCCAGACTGTCAGGGCAGAGGGAACCAAAGTGGTCATGAAGTCCTGTCCTTTCAACTCACCAAAGAATCTGGCTCCTTTCTTCTCCTCAAGGACTTAAGCTTTGCAGAACCTCGAAGTCTTTAGAAGTTACTTAATCTGAAAGTCCAAAATTAAACAATAACAAAAAAGTTACTTTCCTTTGAAATGAAATAGTCCCCGTTATCCATGAGGGATATTTTCCAACCCCTGCAGTGGATTCCTGAAAGCATGTATAGTACTGAGCCCTGTACAGACTACGTTTTTTTCCTATATGTACACACCTATGATAAAGTTTAATTTATAGCTTAAAAACAGTAAGAGATTAACAATAGTAACTAAAACATAACTAAAGAGTAGTGATGCTGGAATATTCTTATAATCGAATTATTCTTATAATCTTATAATTAATTATATAATTAATCTTATAATCGAATATGGAATATTCTTACAATCAATTAAAGAATATTCCAGCATCACTACTTTTTCACTTTGGGGCCATTTTTAAGTAAAGTAAGGGTGACTTGCACACAAGCATCGCAATATGGAGACAGCTGGTCCGATCACTGAGATGACTACTAAGTGACTAAGGGGTGGTAGCATCCACAGCATGAATGCATTGGACAAAGGGAGGATTCACATCCCGGGCAGGATGGAGCGGGACGGTGCAAGAGCTCATCCTGCTACTCAGAATAGCACACAATTTAAAATTTATGAATTGTTTATTTCTGGAACTTTTCATGTAGTATTTTCAAACTGCAGTTGACTGAAGGTAACTGAAATCTCAGATAAGAGGAGATGACTGTATCTCCTTGGGTCTCAGGAGGGGTTTTCTCCTGTGTTATCAAAGCCCTCAAGGCCCTGTGCATTGCCCACAGGGCCACACTGACCACCCCTAGGAGCATGAACATCTTCCCTTTTCTGAGCATGAAAGCAAAGCAGAAAAGTCTTTAAGCAGCCTTAAGCCAGTTGGCCTTAAGCTGAGGCAGGGGCTCAGCGATGAGAATAAGATCTGCCCCGTGAGTGGGTTCAATGTGTGCCAGAGGGGAGAAGACAGGATCCTCAGTGTTGGTCAGGGAACTAACTGGTGGCTGGAAAGCCCTGCCCCAAGCCCCCCAGCTTGCCTTTAGTGGGAGAAGCTTTGGTTAGAATTAGGGCTTTGCGGGCCAGCCCAGTGGCGCACTGCTACAGTGCGCCGCTTGGGAGCGCAGCGGCGCTCCCGCCGAGGGTTCGGATCCCACATACAGACCGGCCGCTCACTGGCTGAGTGAGGTGCGGGCGCAACACCCAGGGTTGTGATCCCGTTGCCGGTCCCGGTAAGGTACGGGCGCGACACTGAGGGTTGCGATCCGTTGCCGGTCACAAAAAAAGACAAAAAGGAAAAAAAAAAAAGAATTAGGGCTTTGCTGGGGGGCTGGGGGCACACAGAATCTCTCCAGGGTAACCCAGAAGCCCAGCCGATAGTGAGCCTAGCCACATCTTGCTCTTTTTCCCTTAGAAAGGTACAGTCCCCTTGCTTTACTGCATCACCCTTGCCATGAATAAAAACAAACCAAGAAAAGCCTTTATTTTAAGTGGCCCTGTTGATTTTCTCAGAGGGAATTAGTCCTGACCCCTGCCTGCTAAGAATTGGTGATTAGTCTGATGGGAGATAAAGAGTAAGAGAGAGACGGTTGTCATAGGCGGGTGTGCTCTTCTGGGTGGGGGATTGGCACACAGAGGCCAGGCCTGCAGCAGCAGGGCCGAGTCATTTTCTTTAGGTCAGGCTACCTGGGATGCAGGAAGGGGCACTGGAAGGAGACTGCAGAATCTGCCTCTGGAGCTCTGGCTCACTCTGAGACCTGGAGTGGGGCCTCATGGCCTAAGCTCAGTTTTCTGTTAAATGAAAGAGTTGGCCAAAGAAGGTTTAAAAGATTGAATATTCCAGCTCTCACATTCTGTGAGTCTCTTTGATTTCGCAATTTCTAAATGGTGGATGAATATTGAAAAGATGATCAACTCCATACAATGGGATTTTAAATGCCTGGTTAAAGATATCAGAAAACACTTATTCTTTATCAGGTCTTTTGTCCAGCAATTTTAGATACCAGCTGAATAAGCATTAGGAAGTCTGACTTCAGGAATGCTGTTCAGACACTCATTTATTACGATGCCTGAGTGATGAACAGCTGGGTCCCCCACCATGGTATCCATTCCAGGAGTGCCTGAGACTGAGTCTTACTTTTCTTTCTTATTTTCTTATTTTTCTCACTGCATGCCTTTTACAGTGCCTGACACATAATTGGGGGCATCATAATGTTTATAAAATCAGAGAACAATAGAAAGGTTTCCTTGTCTCTTTCAGTTGGTGCCCAGCTGGCTGTGTACCAGATCTGACTTCTGTTTAGGCACCTGCTCTCGGGAAAATAACCTCGAGAAGTCAGCCTGCGCCAGGGCGGGGAGCTGCCTGTCGCTCCCCGTTGCTTTCTTTTTGTCTGAAGGGGCCATGCTTTAGATGCTTTAGATATTTGAGAAGTCACTTCAAGACTGAAAGCTGACTTCCACTTCCAGACCTAAAAGTGGGTCAACCGCTCTCAAAATGAAAATTTCATTGAGGGAGGGAACTTTATGGTACCTTCCAGCCCAGAAACAAAACATTATGAATTCTGGATGAGTCATTTCGTTTCTGACCTGAGGCAAGTCTTTCTGCCCTGAGTGACACTGGGCTTCTTTCTGAGCCTAAAGTTCCAAGTAAAGAGCTGTACTTACAGTTGATGGTGCCTAGTGACTGGATCTGTGAGGCCTGTTTAAGCAAAGTTACAAAAGACGTGAAAATCCTCTAGTCGCTCCAGAAAGGGCTCACTAATGGCTGAGATCTGGAGCGCTAAACTGGAAATCACACAAGGCCAGACAGACGTTATTCCATGCCAACCGAGGCACGTGCTGCAGGGAGTGGGTATGTTTGAAATTGGATCTGGAGAAAAGTGGCCCCAGGATCCCACATACAGGGAGTTCGAGGTATTGGGAGATGAAGATCCCTGAACGAGGCCAGGAAGGTTTCTGGAAGAGGTGGGGTATTGGAGTCATTTTAAGTTTCTATAAAGGGTGTTTTAGGCCAATGCTGCTGCTTTCAAGGCAAGAGCAGGGCTGGCTAGATGGAGAGGCATTGGAGGTACTGCCTGGAAGAGGGGCCAGGAAGGTCAGTAGTCAACGTGCAGGGTCCCCTTCAGGTGCCAGGCACTTGATGAAGAGCTGAAACCTGCCCGTGCTTTTAATAATGGATAAGAAAGAACTTTCTGTGGTGAAATGCTAGCTGTGGTCATTCCCCAAGGGCCCCTCACCAACTCAGCATACCCAGGGAGAGGGCAAACCAGGACCACTTGTGCAAAAAAGACACCCCTCTCTCAAGACACTTCTATCTCTGAGGAAACAGTCTCATAAAATGGATTTTATTAGAACAAGACATTTTATTGCCATCTGCCAAAACATTGCCAGAATCAATGTTCAGATCTATGGTGTCTTAGCTATGTGGGGTGCCCCCTCCAAGGTAGTGCCGCCGTGTCCTGCACAAGTGCTCAACCCTCCCCAGTGGCCCCAGACAGTGCCCATGTCTTTGTTTTCCATGACTCCCCCTTCACCGTGCATACTGGGCACCCACCATGAGAAAGGGGCTCAGACCTTTTGGTCCGTTGTCAACCGACTGCCTCTCTCTAGCAACGCGGTGCTCTGCTGGAAGTTCTGCCATGTGTTCCACAAACTCCTCCGGGATGGACACCCAAACGTGAGTTCTTAAAGCTGCAGGGGGGGGCCCAGGGGCCAGGGACCCATGTGGGGAAAGTGTGAGGCCCTGGGCCCCAAAGGCTGCGGTCCACTCCCATACTGCCCCCTTCACCTGGCCTTTTGGTTACAGATTAGAGGTGAGAATACCTCTCTCCAGTCAGCCTCTCCTCCCCAGCCAGGGCCCACGTTTACTGTCCTCTTGCCTTCCCTTCTGTTCTCTCATAGGCTTTCTCTTCCCTCTCCAGGTCCTGAAGGACTCTCTGAGATACAAAAATGAACTGAGCGACATGAGCAGGATGTGGGTGAGTTTGGAGATGTGCCCAGGGGCCACCTGCTCCTCCTCCTTCCCCAGAGGCCACAGAACAATGACTGGAATGGAACAAATTCATCTCTTTCATCTTGTCCAGGATTTCTCCCATGAGCATCAGAGAGGGACTAAGGATGCCCCCAAATAGTACCTTAATATCCATAGTCTTACCTGGTGTCTCTGGAAACTGTAGAAAAGTTCCAGTTTCCAGTTCTGGGAGCTCCCGCCAATGGAACTTCATGTCACAAAGCTGTCTGGGCATTGTGATCCCTCAGCAGGGATGTTGTTATAGTGCCTACTTCTCCTTTCCACTGGTCCCATTGGGGTCACAGTACATTGAGTATTAGCATTCCCAATTCTTAATGCTAGTGCCTTTTCTTTCCTGTCTAGAGATTATAAGTGCCTTAGAATGAGGGAGGAGGTAGGTGGCAATATCAGAATCAGTTGAAAAGAGTGTTTCTGTGCACACACCCAAATCCCTCTAGATTCTGATGTCCAATGGTGTGTGTAGAAAGGAGGAGTAATCTTCATTTTGAGGAATCTCCCTAGTTGATTCTGTATGCCCTTTCACACCCACCAGTTGAAAACTATTACTTTAGGCTTTTCCCTCAAAGTCCGACCTGTATCTGTTTGTACTCACAAAATGTTAGCAATTATGTAGTCCAGTCTACCAACCATAGTTGAAGAGATACAAGCCTAGAGAGGGAAGCAGCTTGTCCTAAAGTCACAAGCCTAGTTACCTGAACAAAGCTGAAAGTTGTCCCCTAATCTCCCAACTGCATGCTAGATAGAAAGCTTTCCCTATAACACGTAAAGCTTAGTTCTTTTTCCTTCTTGTTAGAATTTGCTGGTATAAATATTTTTCTCCATCTTTTTACTTTCAATTTTCCTATATTCTTAAGATTTAGAAATATCACTTGTAAATAGCATTCAATTGTGGGTGGTTTTGTTTTTGTTTTTTATTCAAGATGGCAGTCTTTGCCTTTTTACTGGGCATTTAGTCCATTTACATTTATTATAATGCATGATATGTTTAGATTTGCATCTCCCATCTTATTTTGTACTTTCTATTTGTCCCATTTGTTCTGGTTCTATTTCTTTCATTTCTTGCTTCTTTTGGGTATTTTTTGGGTATTTGCTTGGGCATTTTTTTTCTCATTCTACTTTTTCCTAATGACTAGTTGGGAGGTTTAAAAAAAAATTCTACTGTTTAAATTTTTTGGTATGCTTTCTATTAATTACAAAATGCTTGCTTAGTTTATTAAGGTCTAAATTTCATATTTTTATCTGTTTCCTGTATAATACAATAACACAGAGACCTTAGAATATTTTAATTCCATTCACCCCTCAAGTTGTATGTTATTATTGTCATGTATTTTAGTTTCAGTTATGTTTTTCTCCTTAAATCCTGTAAGATATTGTTTTGTTTTAAATGTTTTATTCTTTGCTCTTCTCAAACCTTACATCTGGGATCACTTTGTTTCTGCCTGAATTATTTCTTGTAGAATTTCCTTTATTGAGAGTCTGCTGGTAGCAAACATCATGTTTGCTTGTTTGAGAATGTCTTTATTTCAACCTCATTCATGGAAGTTATTTTCTCAGATTTAGAAGTCTAAGGTGACAGTTGTTTTCTCCCAGCACGTGGAGGATATTATTCCACATATCTTTCCACTGACTCTGGTTTCTGTTATTTTCATGAAGTCAGCCATGAGACTAGCAGTTGCTCCTTTGAAGCTAATCTGTGTTTTTTCTCTGGCCATTTTTAAAATCTTAGAATGTGTCTAGGAGTGAATTTATTTTAGATTCTCTGGATTTCTTAAATCTCTGAGTTAAGAGATTAACTGATATCTTTTATCAATTATGAAAAACTCCCATTGTCACTACAAACATTACCTTTGCTCCATTCTGTCCTTTCTTTCTGAGACTTTGGTTAGAAGTGTGTCAGACTTTCTTGCTCTATCCCCCATGTCTCTAAACCACTATTTTGGACTTTTTCTACCTATTTTCTCTGTTGCATCCTGGATAATTTCATCAGAGCCAGCTTTCAGTCCTCTTGTTCCCTCTCCAGCTGGTCTAATCTGTTGTTAATACTCTCCATAAGGTTTTTAATTTCAGTACATTTTTTATTTCTTGAAGTTTTTTTTTTTTTCAAATCTGCTTGATATTCTTTATAATTTCTTATATCCTGCATATGTTTTCAAACAATCTCTTATTTGTTTAGATATACTAAACATAGTCATTTTATATGCCACTTTTTATCTTTCCATTACCTAAAGTCCTTTGAGATCTGTTTTTGCCACCTGTCATTTTTGGTGACTCTTGCTCATGCTATGCAGTTTCCTTTTGTGCTTAGTTATTTTATACTGTGAGCTGCTCATTTTATTTGGAATCTTATTTGTCAGAATTCTCTGGAGTCTGTATGAAGACAGGTTCTTCCAGAGACAGTTGGCATTGGCTTCCTCTGAGATCACTCTAAATTAAATTCTCCGCTTAAGGATTTGTGAATTCTGGGCAGATCCCCTTGAAGACTGGCTCATGGGTCCAGTTCTCAGCAGCAGTTTTTCCGTCCTTCTGATTACAACAGTGGTTTGAGGCCATAGATCTGCTTTCCAGTCCTCAGAGAGGACTTCCTCAGTGCAGGAGTGCCAGTGTGTGTATTATTTTCAGTTTACCCTTACTCCTCCTGTACCACATCTCCTCCACTAGACCCCTCAACTTGGGCAGTCCAGAGCCCAGCCTCTTCTTCACCACCTGTCCCAAAAGATCAAAGCTCAGGTTCACCTGGTGTGGCCACCCCTGTCTCCCTCCTGCCCTCTCACCCCAGCATTCCAGTCACCTGAGCGTCTGTGTTCACTCAGTTCCTGGCCTGAGGATTCCTTACTCTCTTGTTAATAACTCAATAAGGCCTTCAAAAAGAAACTTTAATATTTTACTCAATATTTTTAGTAGCTTTCAGTGGGAAGGTCAACCCAGGTACCTTGCCTGCCTTGTTATCCAAAATGTAATTCCTTTAGGTCTTTCTTCCTGTGTGGTTCTGTCTCTTCCCTTTGACTAAGAGTTTCTGGAAGTTAGGATCATCTTTTACTTCTTGATCCTTGTGCATTTCGTGTTAACTATAGTTGTCTTTGATAGAATATTTTTGCTCCTTTTTCTACTTTTCAGTACTTTCTGATTTTTATACAACGAATAAGTATTTCATAAAAATCAATAAAACATGATTTGTTTTTAGAAAACAAATTTTGTAATAACATTATGAAAATACTGCCATCTCTGGCATTAATGTTTTTAAACTCCTCTGATTACTTACCCCCTTTGGTGCCCTTTCAGGCATGTTTCAATGTGGATCCTTTTTTCTACCGTAGAAGATATAGACACACTTAAAAGAAAATGTACAAGTCAAAACTCATGTGGGATCCACAGCTATAAGTTGAAGGGTTCTTCGTGTCCCATCTCCCTCCTTTTTTGTAGAAAACTGGGAGTCATTAGTATCATTTTGCTAATGTGGCTCCTTCCGAGGCACCAGGACAGCTGGGGACCTGGCTGCATGGGCAGACCCCATGGGAAGGGTCATTCTTCACCAGCTAGGATTGGTTCCCTTTCAAGTGCCCATCCCACGTGTGGTACTGTAGATGCTCTTAGTCTCTTGGAGCCCATCTGGAGTAGGTGTTTACTGTGCTTAGACAGACAGAAAGACGGAAATAGCCCTTAACTAGACTATGATTGTAAAGAGTAGGAGACAAAATTCTTAAGTAAGAAGGCTTGTGCAGAATTTATCCTAAGGAAGTCCTGGTGTTTATACAAAAGGTCATGCTGTCAGAATGTTCATGGAAACATTATTAATTAATTAATTAATTTATTTATTTATATTGAATCATAATTGATTATACATTTTGGGGGGGTTCAGTGTTGACATATGTTGATCAAATCAATATTACTAGCATATATATTATTACAAATCATACTTATTCTTTATGCCCCTTGTCCAATCTCTCCCCATCCCCCTCTCCCCCGTCTAATTACCCAAGATTTCATCTCTCTTTTGAAAGAGTAATGGTTACTCTATTGATTTGTTGCCTAGATGATGTGTCCAATGCTGAGAGGTGTGTTCAGGTCCCCCAATATTATCGCAGAACAGATGTTTCTTCTGCCACTCTGGAATGGGCTTTGTGGAGAGAGACATCCTCTTCTTTTCTTTGGTCTCTGCTGGTGACTCTCCTTGTGTCAATGCACTTCAGTGGCTGGCAGACCAGCCACACAATGGTTGTGGCAACTAGCCACTTTTGGGGCAGCTGTGGTTATTGTTGTGGCTGTGGTAGGCCACCCACATGGAGGTGATGTTTTTGGTATTCTCCTTAACTAGTTGGTGGTGGCGATGGTGGTGTGCCTGGTTGTGGGAGGGGGTCTGGTCCCCAGACCCATGCCTCAGGACCCTAGGTAGGCCCCGTGATGCTGGCAGTGTGCCTGGTTGTCCTCCCTTTCTGGCTTGGTAGACCAGAGGACTTCCAGTCCTTCTAGGTGTTATAGGTGTTCTTCGGTGAAATAAGACCTTTACTAGTTAATATCAGACTTTGTCTCTGGTTGTGGGTACTCCGTTTTTTCTCTCAGTTCTGTGTTGGATTATTTGCTGTTCCCACCACTTAATCTCTGTGCTGGAACTAATTTGTTGTCCTTTGCTTACTTCTAAAGGGGGGTAACTTCCTGTGGGAACCAGCACTTGAGCTGTGTGGTTTAGCTAAATTGCTGCTTTGCTGCTGATTCCCTAGGGAAGGCTTTTTCTGCATCTCAGCATTTAATGGTTGACTTTATAGGTTCTTACGGGTTTAGTGAAATCCACTGCACCTGGGTTGTGTAAAAACTCTGGTCTGGACCTGAGTCTTTTCATCAAACTGCACCTCATGCAATTCTATATTACTGACCAGTCTCCTCTGAGTGGTCCTTCTCTGATTGGGGGGCAGATCAGCTGTCCTTGCTGTTCCCCAATGTTCTCCTGGTTGGCCTGTTTCCTACACCGCCCATGCTCCAAACACTTCCCATGGGACAGGCTATACACCAGTCCTTTGCCGTGACTCACTGGCCTCTGAGAGGCTCCTTTTTTTCAGCTGTTGTGGTTCCTTGCTCCTATTCAGGTCCACGGGAATCCTATTAGTGGTCTTGCCTTGCACCAAGGCCCTCTTCTCCCCTGCTGCCTCCAAGCAACTCCATCCAAAGGACACAGCTGCAGCTTTTGCTGGCTCCATGCTCCATGTGCTCAGCAGCTCCAGCCTGGAAGTGGCTGGGGCTCAAATAGTTGAAGTGGTTCTTTCTTTCTCTCATCGTGGCTTCTCCTGCCTTCATGCACTCTGTAGGTCTCCCCTCCTCTTCCCCTGAGCTCTAGTGGCCCCAACTTGGCTGTCATTGCTTTTTTTTTTTTTTTTTTCCTTTTTGTCTTTTTTCGTGACCGGTAATGGGATCGCAACCCTCGGTGGACACCCGCACCGCGCTCAACCAGTGAGCAGACCGGTCTCTATATGGGATCCGAACCCTCGGCGGGAGCGTCGCCACACTCCCAAGCACCGCACTCTACCGAGTGTGCCACCAGGCTGGCCCTGTCATTGCTTTTCTTTTTTTTTTTTTTTTTTTTTTTTTTTTTTTTTTT